GACAGGTTGGAAGTTACAATTAAATTAACTAAATTTTCTTTTTTTTTTTTTTTAATAATAAACGCAGAGTACCGACACGCTGTTAGTTTAGTATATTCTATTTGCTAAACTATTTTTTTCGATTCTCTTTTAATCTGTTTAAAAATAAAAAATCAAATTTCAAGGCGCAATTAAGTTGAGTCATTTTAATAATTAAATGTGGAGCGATTTTCTGCAGTCTTCTTAACCAAATAAGAATATATTTAAATAAGAATATATTTAAATTCTTACGGTTAAACAGGATTACTATCTGGAGGAAATCTAGAAAACTTAAATCAATTTATGCCTTGAAAAATCAAAGAATTCCCAGAAAATCAGAGAATTTTTTAAAAATATTTTATTTTTATATTATTAATCGAAAGTTTATCGATTGAATTATTAATAACAACGGACTTAATAATAACAATCCACTCTGAATATCAGAATGCTTATTTTACGAATAATCTATCATTTAGCGTTGAAGATGACGTCGTATTAGGTATAATTTTGTTTAATGAAGACGGATATTTTTTTTAATGGTTTTATAAAAATTGAATTTTGCATCACTTGTGCATTATCTAACTCTTTGTTTGTAGCTTTTGAAAATTTTATACAATATAAAATATTTATTTTTTATAGTCATATAGTTTCTCTCAAATTTTTCAAATTTAATTATTGGAATTTGAATGATCCTTAATTTTATTTTATGAACTTTTATAAGTGAAAATATTAAGGGTTACTTAGATACAATAAATATACATACATTTGTTTGATAAATATATTTGAAAAGTTTCATTTTATCTGAAATTTTTAACAAATCGCTTTGAAGACCAGAGAATTCTTTTTTTCGAATTTTGAAACAGACACTCCGTGAAATATTTTGTTAAATCTTCACTAAAGCTCATTTAACTATTAAATTATTTCACACGTTTTGAACGCATGTTTTATATTCGAAGAAAAGTGTCTGCCTCTTGTCTTTTATTTTACCTTTTTCAAAATGCGAGATTGCACCCGACAGCACAATCTTATATCACAAGCGATGGGTGAAATTCTGGTGCCGTACTAAGCATGCAACGCTTCGCCGTCGCGCCGGAGTTTCTGCATATACATTCCAACTCGGCGTGTAACGCGATTATGTAACATGTCGAGAAAGTGGGAAGGGATAGATACGGGGGGACCAATAAATTCATAAGCAAGTTAGCAGAGATTCGGAAACGAGGAAGCTTTTTGAACGACCCACAGCATATATCGAGCACTAAAAAGTTTGTCCCTAATGCGAAAAGGCCGTTATCTCGAAGTCTTAACGAGAGAGATCGCAAAGTCGTTATCGTCAACCAACAGCAATTTGGAGGTACTCCAGAGAGCGTAGAATAAAAATTATGAAGGTCGCTGTAATCGATTGTGTGACCTCTAATCGGCTTTCGCATTACCGCGCTACATACGCGAAATGAGACAATATAATAACAATATTTTCTCTCGTAAACTAAACGTCTCGTAAATTGTTTTTTCTTTCTTAAATGCAATTTTTAAATTGATTTCCTTTTCCCAAGTGCAATTTCATGGAAAATCAGACTACAGAAATATCCGGAATGGGGGTTTACTTAAATAGATACTTTCCCGCACTCTCTTTCCCCCCTCCTGCCCCCCTCTTGTCAAACAGTTTAAGCGCGCGCAATTAAAAATTGTCCCGCGGACAATTAATTAAAGTTTCCATCAGCCCCGGCAGATTTCGTTCTGATTGTACACCCACTACATAACCGATCGATCATCTTAACCGCGGTCTTAAGTTACGGATGGACGAAAAGAATCGATCCTGGCGCGCATATATGTCGGTGCTCCTCCGGAGTCCTCTTCGTTATCGTGTCTTCTCTCTAGCTTAATGTCGCAGCGGCCAGGCAAGACGAACGTCGATTCGATACGAAGCCACCTCACTCCCGCGGTGCTTGCAGGTTTCTCTCACGTGAATCGAATAATCGACTGCAATGCACTACGGAATTGAGGATGCAACGCATCCTTACACTTGCATTTCCAGTACAGTGTTCTCTCTCTCTCTCTCTCTCTCTCTCTCTGTATTTTTTATCAACAAGAAGCTTAACCGAGCGATTAAGATCGATACATCTCTCGGCGTGCTGAAAAGTTCATGCAAGCTCCAAATGCGGTCCATACAGCATTTAAGTTCACCGCGAGCGACGTGACGCGCGATGTGAGGGAAGGTAATAATTTCCAGACGGATAATTCTACTTTCGTTATACATGTATGTGTTTTGGACTTTCGGTTGAATTGCGGTAAACATTGTTGTGTACGATACAGGCGGTAATTTCGCGTCCAGCGCGGCGAGAGACGCCGGGGCAGATAGACAGAACAGCTCGCTTACGGCTGTAACGCATGTAATTTCAGCGGAAGTGGAACGTCATTTACGAAACTCTGTGAAAGTCCGATGGACCCGCGCGCACGTCGAAAAAAAAAGATTCGCGTGCATACATATCTGCTCGTCGCGCGGAATTATATCATTGTCACGTGTCATAACGCAACGATGCTGCATTCCCGAATCAGCCTCAATAATCAGATTATCGCGGAATGGAAATTGCGCCTCTACCAATCTCGCCTCCCTGGTGGTTGGCCGATGCGCCGCTTCCAACGGAGTCGGACAATCGCCCTAAAATTGAACGGCGAGACAGAGTATATCGTGAAAATATCGTCAAACTTTACGTTTCTCGGAGAATACACCCCGAGAAGTTCGGCTTATGTTTCCGCGACGAATTTCATGTTCGACCGTGTCGACCGTGTGGTGCATGAGGCAGGATTTTCCAAACAATGCGCCCCAAGAGTTTTATATATGCTTTCATGGGAATTTTATTTAAGATTTAGTCTTTTTTTATTTCAAACAGGCAGAAATCGAGTCTTACGAAACCCTTCTTTCAAAGTATTGTTGTAAGCTTTTGTAACACTATTTTCTAGCTAGTAAGAAACAAATATAGATTTAAAAATTTCCACACACAATGTTCCTTTTATTAATCCTAAATTAACAACAATTACAGGGTCGTTAATTGTTCATATTTTTTTAACGCTATTGTAAAAAATTTTGTTTTTTTTTTAAGACACAAAAGATAGCCGAAAATAGCTATATAATTCTAAACGACAACAAATGTTATCATTTTATTATGTTATATCTTATTATTTCTCCTCTTTTATATATATATATATATACGTAAAGAATATTGTGCTTATAATAATATTTACTTTTAACAAAAAAAAGAGAATGATTTCTACAATATGGATTTAATAAAAATTGTTTCAAAGACACAGAATTTTTCTTCCATGCAATATTTTTCGCAACCAGTTAGACAGTCATCTAGAATAATACGTCATCGACTTACCGTGAGGAGCTTTGGGCACATAGAGGTTCAAATACAGGCAGTCTTCGCTCTGGTTAGCCAGAAGGGGCACCAGTCTCTTAAGGTAGGTCTGCCTCTGCCGCGGCAGGCTCTCGTCCGGTGCCGGCGGCCGCTGCGGGCAGGCCGGTGGCATGGTGTCGGCGAGCTTGATGCCGCGCCATGGTGTCGGGGTGACCGGCGGCATGTAACGCAACGCGCCGAGCGGCGGCGTCGCGTACGGCACTCCGTAATAAGTCTCGACGGAAGTCGACGATCTAGCCTCGATGCCGCGCAGAGTGCCGTATCGCGTCTTGACCGTTCTGGTGCAGTACTTTTGAGTGCCGGCCAGCGCCTCGGTGCCTGCCAGGTAGCACTGAGCGCAGAGAAGCGCCAGCAGGAGGACGCTTTTGGCGATACCCCTATTAGACGGGACCTTTCGAGGGGTCCCTTTATTCGCATTATCCTTCGCACTTTGTCGTCGCTTCTCTCGTCCATCTCCTTCGTCGTTGATCCCCTTGTCGCATTTACCTCCCTTCCGCTTTTCATGTTCCCAGCACCATTCACCGGAAATCCCACTTGCTTGGCAATTCCCCAGCTTCCCGGGAACCTGACGGTACGCCGAGGAAGCATCTCGTCCCCAGTAAAGTACATCGTGTCGCGTTCGATACGAGACGATATCGAGCCGCGGAGGATACTGCTGTCGGAGGAGGACATGTCTAACTGATGGCCGCCAATCGCCGGTGAGGAGGACGGTGTCGGGAAGCGAGAGGTCTTTCCTCTTCCTCTTCCTCGGCAAAGAGGAGGAGGACGTCCGCATCGCGTCACGCCGCCGCGGACTGGCCCCTGCGGGCCCCGCATCTGTGGGGCCCTCCTACCGATGGACGACCCCTTTCTTCTTCCGCTTCCGACTTCCGCTTTGCTTTTCCGTTCGCCGCCGTCGCCACCGTCTCTTTGCCTCTTCTTCGTCCTTCCGTTTTCCGTTCCGCTGTCGGCAATTTTTTGCGACCTCTCTCCTGCGCCTCTTTCCGCACTACCGCCGCCACTACCCTTATACCGTCGCCAGCGTCCACCCACTCCCACTGTTTTCGGTATGACTTGCCGCCACCTCCAGTCCCGCACTCTCCGAACGGCTTTCGCTCCCCGTTCGCCGTCTCGAATTCAAAGTAACGACTCGATGCTGCTATCGTGCTGCTGCTGCTGCTGCTGCTGCTGCTGCTGATCAACTCCGAGCGAACTCTCACTTCCATTCTCAGATGCATGCGTTGCCCGCGCTAACGCTGAGCTGCCAATCCGGCGACTGATCGTCGTTATGCACGACGTTCCGTTGACGATCGACGAGCTCGAATCGTCGGCAGCGAACGATCCTGACGGAATCATCGGCGCCCTGGGTACGACGGGTATTCGACGCACCGCCCTCGGAGGGTCGCCGACTCGCGCGGAATCCTCAACGTCCTCGTCTCACGTCCTCGATCCACGACTTCTCTCGTAGAGGAAGGTCGATTCGACAAACGATTCCTCGCCTGCTCGAGTCCTTCGTCTCTTCGTCTCGTCGGAGCCACCTGCTCTCGCCTCTCTGCGCGCCGCAACACGCTGTAACAACCGTGTTAAGGACGCTTCGTTAACGCGGCCTCTCCAGAAATTAATTTCACGTCAGGTCCGACTAACTCGCTCGGCAGTCGCGCACGAGTATAATAAATTTATAAACTCCTGAGAGAAAGATCTCGCCGCGCCGCGTGTACAAATTTCAAATTCTGCGAAACCTCGAAGGCAGACAGATGTTGCTCATGCTCGGGAACAAATGGCGCGAAGATTGCTACCGTCTGCCCAGTGAACCGGAAAAAAATGTATGCTCGATATACTTCCAGGGGGAGGGGACGATCGTGCGTAAAGAGCGTGCACCCTCGAACGACGTTCCCTTCCCATCCCTATCCTAATTCTGCAACAGTTTCAGGCGAATTTTAAGGATCTTTTTCACTCTCTATTCTCTTTTCCACGATTATTTATATCGGTAATTTTATCGGTTATTCTATTTCAAAAATATGCCCGTTTCACTGGCGTATGTGTTTTCTGCGTATAAATCAATCAATACATCTATTAAAACAGAATGTTCGATTAGCTCATCGGATTTTGGTCCGATTATTAATGTATACATAATTTCAAAGATCTCTATCTTTTTTTTTTTTTTTATGCATTGCACAATGTATTGCACGAGAAACGAAGTCAATATTTTGTGTGCTACAATACATGATAATATATATTTCCATATATTATTGCGGTGAAAACTGACCCCATTGTGGTAATAGCGCAAATTTGACCGTTCCGATTGCAGTATTAATATGCAGATGTATGCGTCGACCCTTTGGATCGAATTTTCGAGAATTCAGCGGCGCCGGACTTGAAATTTACGTTCGCTAAATCAGTAATTAATGTACATTGCCGGAACCGTAACGAAAAATCGAATCGCACGGGCCGGTCGCCCGACAAAATCTAATTAATTGCAATGACGATGTAGTTTGATTCGAATGAGTTGCTCAAGCTGGCTCGAATAACGCGAAATCCGATAGCATTCAACTGCGTGGCTATGCGAGAATTTCCAATTTCCAACTTGAGGTAAACTACACTCTCTCTGGCCCTTGGTGCATACGGCGTTACGGCTTCGACAATGTTTCAACCCCCTCGCCCCAAGGAGAGGAGGCAGCCCGTGCGTTTAAATTACCATGGAGTTTCAGTTACCGCTCCACCATTACAATGCCTTTTCGAACGCGGAGCGAAGTATCGGACTATTTTTCTATGAGAGCCCACCTACGTGGCGAAACGACGTAATAGTCTCGTACTTCGTCGAGCGTGCAATTGTTAAGACAAGCCCGTAGACAAACGTAGATATTTTCTTGCGCTCGCTCCTTTTACTCTCCGGAGCTTCCGCCGAGTGTGCCGACGGCATAAGAAAGGCATTATCTAAATTCCTTACGAGATAAAAACGTGAACAAGAGTGCCGCGATAATTATGAAAATCAAGCA